AAAGTAAAAAGTAAAAATTAAGATGTTTTGATAATTTTAAAATATTTTCAATAATTTTTTCTTACGTGTTGATTTATTAAAGATATTTATTTATTTTTCATTATAATTCTTGTCATTTTAATTATCAAGACATCTTAATTTTTCTCAATTCCATGTATCAATATACAAACTTTTTTTTTTTTTGAAAAGCAAATGGTATATTGATATTGGAATACTAGGGGTATTCCATCCCATTACTTACACGGACAGCAGAACAGCAGGTTACAAAAAAATCCTACCAGCTGCTGAAACAGAGCAAAACAGAGTACAAACCAAAATAAATCTAGTTCAATCACTGTCTTCCTAAATAACTTTGATCTTTAAGCAATTTGTTGGGTTCTCGACCCAAGCTGACAGAGAAAATCCATCCATACCAGCTATGTTTTTAGCCCAAAAGAAAGATCGAGATTGAACTAGCTCAAGGAAATGGTCAACCTTTGCCTCCTTTTTGTTAAAAATCAAGTCGTTCCTTCCCAGCCATAGAGTCCAAACTACTGCAAACCAAATGATGTTCCACCCTCTATTAATTAATTTTTTGCCCCCAGTCCATACATGTTGATCTAAGGCCATCCTACAAGAATTACTCATGACATAGTGCACTCCCCACCACTTATAGCATTCCATCCACAGAGAATACGCCAAATTACAATGAAAAAACATATGGTCAGGGGATTCGGGACATGCATCACACCAACAACAGTTTAAGCTAGCTGGGTCAGTTAAAATTCCCCGAATTGCAAGATTATCCTTTGTGGGGAGTTTCTTGTGAAGTAATTGCCAACAAAAAGCACTTACTTTGGATGGAATGGGGGCTTTCCATATCCTCTTGAAGTCTCCATCAGGCCTTGGGACACCTTTTGAGAGTTGGGAATATGCAGTCTTGGTTGAATAGATTCCTGAGTTTTCGAGATGCCATCTCCATTGATCCTCTTTGTTCTGAATTGGGTGAGCCGAATTGATTATCTCTAATAGCTCCTTTTGAAGGTCCTCCTCCCATGATCGAAGTTGACGCTTCCATGGTAGTTTCCAGTGCCAGCTACCGTTCCTCCAGGTTCCCATATCTTTAACCTTTGCGTTTTGGCCCGTGGATAATAAAAACAAGCGGGGGAATTTGTTAAAGAGGGCACTCCCTCCTACCCAATCATCCGACCAAAACTTCAAAGATCCACCATCCCCCAATTTTGCTACAAAACCTGAGCTCACCCAATTATTTTCTGCACCCTCCCCTTGATCTATTTTACACACATCCCTCCACCATTTAGAGCCTTGGGATCTACCCTCCTTCAAGCACGTAAGCCAATTCCCTTCCTTGATCCCATATTTTTCAGCTAAGACTCTCTTCCACAGGCCCCCCTTTTCCATAAGCAGTCTTCCCCACCATTTTCCTATTAATGACTTGTTGAAACAGGACAGATTTTTTATACCCAATCCCCCCTCAAGCTTGTTACAACAAATATTCTCCCACGCAACCCATGCAACTTTGTTCCTCTCCTCAGCACCCCCCCATAAAAATCTCCTCCTTATTTTGTCTAACTCCCTTATGACGGTCTTTGGGATGAGGTAAAAAGACATTAGGAACACTGGTAGACTAGATAGCACAGAATTTATGAGTGTAATTCTGCCTCCAAGAGATAGATAGCGCCCCTTCCATGTTGATAACTTTCTTTTAAACAAGTCGATCAGTGGCTTCCATGTAACTATCCTTCTCGGATCTGCACCCAAAGGTATACCCAGGTACTTACACGGCAAGGACCCTGATTTGCAGTTTAATAGCCATGTCATTTCCTTTTCCCATAGGTTGTCGACATTGATTCCAATTAGAGAGCTTTTGCCATAATTTACTTTTAGGCCGGAGACGAGCTCAAAAGCCCTCATGATGCATTTTGAGGTCCATATATTTTCTTCTGTTGCTACCCCTAATAACAGTGTGTCATCCGCGAATTGTAAATGAGAAATATTCATACTCCCTTCTCCCATTGGGACTCCTTCGAATAGATTTTTCGCAACAGCCGTCGATATGATGCCATTAAGACCTTCCGCTACTATAAGAAACAAGAAGGGTGCTAATGGATCCCCTTGCCTTAGACCTCTTTGCATAACGAACTCCTTTGTAGGGCTACCATTGAGTAATACTGATACTGAGTTTGTTCGTAGGCATTCTGGAATCCATCCCCTCCAAACCGACCCGAAATTCATCCTTTCCAGCATGTAGTCCAGGAACTCCCAATTGATGTTGTCGTATGCCTTCTCAAAGTCGGCCTTAAAGAGGAAACATCTCATTTTTTTCCTTTTAATCTCGTCAATCGCTTCATTTGCAATGACTGCGCCGTCAGCAAGTTGTCTCCCTCCGATGAATGCTGATTGTTGCTCACCTATGAGCCCATTCATGACCTTACTCAATCTGTTGGCTAATATTTTAGCAAGAATTTTGTACATACACCCTATCAAGGAAATCGGTCTATACTCGTCAATTCCTTGAGGGTTCTCCTTCTTTGGAATCAGGACCAGAAATGACGAGTTTGAGCCCCTCACCAACCTGCTGTTGCTATGAAAATCTGCTAAAAATTTTAGAATGTCCCCTTTGATCACTTCCCATTCTGCTTTCAAGAAACCAAAACTAAAACCATCCGGTCCTGGAGCCTTTGTACTATCGCAATTCCAGACTGCCTCTTTGACTTCTGATTCCAGAAATGGTTCTGTTAGGAGATCCTTATCGTTTTCTGAAAGTTTCTTAAATCCCACTCCGTCTAAGACTGGCCGCTTCCAACCATCCTCTGCAAAAAGATTCATGAAGTGATCGGTGACTCCGTCTTTTAACTCTTTTACTTCTTGCAAAACCTTCCCACCGACTGTTAAGGAATTAATCTCATTCCTTCTCCATCTACCCTTAATACATCGGTGAAAGAATTTAGTATTTGCATCCCCTTCTTTCATCCATGTCATCCTTGATTTTTGCTTTGCCATTTCCACTTTAATTTGGACATTTTCCCATAAAGATACCGTTAGTTCCCTCATGAGAAGGCAATCCGACTCGTTGAGCTGTTGTGACTCCCCCTTATGGTCAAGTTCGGCTATATTGGCTTTTGCTTTCTCAATTTGCTTATCCACCAGCTGCACATGATCCCGTGCCCATTCCTTTACTCTAGATTTCAAGCTTTTTAGCTTTTCTTTCAGCACAAAGCCTCCCCATCCTTGAATGTGTATCAATATACAAACTTCAATCACCCAAAAAATTGTTGTTTACATGATTTTTATTCCCAAGCTTTATGGTCCCATTTTTTTCCATCTTTTTAGGTAAAACACATAATTGCATACTTTTAAACCTGTTTTCAATCTAAATCTAGACGTCGCCCCTCCTTCTCCTTCTCTCTCCCAAATACTCTTCCTTCTTCCTTGCTTCCATTTCCTCCCTAGTCAACACCTCTCTCTCCTTTAGTGATTAGGGAGAATGAATAAAGGTGAGAATTTCTCTCTCCTTTTGGGGAGTATTTTTGTGCCCATTTTTTGTGGTCTTTGCATGGGATCTCTTGATTTTTCTTATTGGATTTTGCTTCGATTTGAAAGGGCAGCAATGTGGTGGTGATGCTTGCTAGGCTTGAATTGGTTGGAGCACTTCCTTTAGCTATTGGTGGTATGATCAGGAGGCTGATAGAGACTTGAACTCTCTTTTGGATTAATTTGATCATGGCTTCTATGATTCATGGACGATACTCCAGCTTCCCTATGAACTAGTGCATCTTCTCTTTGGTATGGTATTTAGTAGGTAAGGACTGTTGTTTGCCGACGTACTTGCTCTCCCCAAGAAGTTGGCATAACAATTAAGAATGTCCAATAACTCAAGTTACTTATGGTGACTCTTTTTTTTTTACGTTAATGGCTTTGTCAAACCTTACAATGATTGCTATTATGATCTTTAAGTATAAACAACTTTCTATATTTAATTGTCTATATCTGTTATGGACATAGTTTTCGTTTGTATCTAATGCTGTAGGATGTACTTCTACTTTGATTACAAAACGTGATATAAGAATTTAAATGTAATTTTAATTTTATTATTTTAATATAATCTTTATTTCTGTTTAAAAACGTGATATAAGGGTTTTTTAATCTTAATAGCCCAATATCCAAAAATCTAGGAAGGCAATTTGCAATTGGTAGAGAATTCAACTAAAATCTACAATAATAGATAAACTTATCAACATGTTCTCTTGATCATCCTTAGAAAAAAAATCAAGTATAGAAACAAATAGACCCAAACTTTCGTCACCCAAACCTTCTCTTGTTTGATTGCGTAAATTCATAGAGGATATGGTCTTCATCCTATCTATGGTGGGGACTCTCTACAGCAACGTACTGTGATATGATGGGGCCTTGCGTTGATTCATATGTAAATGGGTCAGGTATCCATTACACCTTTCGAATAAAATTTACTTTATTTATTAACTAATTAAAAATAAAAACTTGCATCATCTAAAAAATTATTGTTTGCGTTACTTTATCTTCAAGATGTTGTGTGTATCGTCTCATATTTTTCTTGTCATTTTTTTAAATAGGAGACATAATTATTTACTTTTAAATTGGCTTTTCATTTCAATGTACAGTTCAAATTCTTGATAGGGTGATATAAAATTGGTTGAGAACTTAACAAAAATTGCTTTCAAATCCCAATTCCATTGCTAATGGATATATTGTTGCAATCTTTAAAAATCAACGAAATCAAACTCTTTATCATCCTTAGAATGAAACGACTATAATTAAGTACAAAAACAAATATACTAATATCTTAGCTTCCATCACTTAAAAGTGAGCTGTTTATGAATAGCCTGTTCCGACCTAGTGGTATTGGATCTTGGATTAGGGCTGTTAACTTCCATGGGTGGCGTGTTCGAGCTCCATGAAACTCATTTCTCCCTTCTCCATATGTACATGTAAATAATGCCAAATTGTTAAAAAAAAAAAAAAAGTGAGCTGTTTACATTACTTTTATTTTTGAGATGCTATGTATTGTTTCATTTTCTTATTTTTCATTTTTAGATAGGACACATATTTACGTGCTTTTAAACTAACTTTTAATCTCAATAAACCAATATCTAAACTCACCATAAGGCAGTTAGCAACTGGCAGACAATCCAACAAAAATTACTTTCAATCCAATTCTCATCTAAGAGAGGGCATATACTTTTTTTACTATCTTACTTTAATAATCAGTCAAGTCAAATTATTCTCTTTATCATCCTTATGGGAAAAAAAACAAATACAAGAACAAAAACAAATAAATAAATTTCCAAACTTTCATCATTTAAAAATTTGTTGTTTACATGCTTTTATCCTCCAGATGGCGCAAGTATTGTCCCATCAACAATGCCAGAGGGACCAACAAGTCCCAAGCCGATAGAAAACCAAACAGGTATTGCATCCCCACGTCAAAAGTACACCTTTTTCATTTTAAATTTATAGATTAGTCCCTAAACTCAACATTTTAAAGTTATTTTGAAGCTTCAACTTTTAAATTTATTTTTTAATCTCAAACTTTATTTATAATTTAATATAAGGCTTAATATTTAAGGTTTATGGTTTAATATTCTTAGAATTAAAAGTTTAGTAATTAAAGTTATGGTTTAGTATTTAGGACTGATATTTTTAAAAGTTTAGTTTTTGAGGTTAGGAATTAGAATTTATATTATTAGAGTTTAAGATTACTACAAAACTTACTGCTTTTGTTCGCACTTAAAGGAGGTGATTGCAGGTGCTTTTGTGTGCTTACATAAATACAGCCAGTGCTTAAGAAAGTGCCTGCATGGGCTTGCAAATCGCGTGTCAAGAAAGACTACGGTGGGCGAAGGTTGGAGTGCTTATAAAGTGCTTCCATTAACCAGAAAGTGCCTTTAATAACTTAGTTTGCAAGCACTTTTTAAAGCACTTGTGATAACTTGATTTGCAAGTGCTTTCTAAAGCGCTTGCAATTATGTTATTTTCAAACACTTGGCTTACGTCCGAAATATACTTTTCTTGGGTTGGAAAATCCTAACTTTTAGGTGCTCAATATGCGCCTAAAATTGAGCTATATAGGCACTAAAGGAAATGCATAAAATCACTTTTTTTTAGCCCTGCATATACTCTGTTTTCAAGCATTCTAAATTATTTTCATGACAAATCCAAGATGTATACCCACTCCAAAAACCATTTTTAATCAAATGTGAATAAATAACAGCCTATTTATAATTCACAAATCATGCAAACTTTACATGGACAATTTATCAATTCCCCATAAGGAGAATTTTGAAAGGCCCATTCAATGAATTTTCTTGCTCCTTCACGGTACTTAGGACCCAACCTATCTTTTATTATCCAACTTTTATCCATAAACTACATTTACAAAATTAGCTGTATTTTCAAAATCAATTACAGGAAAAAAGTGAAGAATTTAAACTATTAACTATAATGTACTTAATTTAGAAGATCTACTTATTATAATAGCCAAATTACTTATGCAACTGCAATAACCAAATAAGTTCAAACTTGAGAATAAAACTTGGAAATTTCAAAAAACAATGAACCTGCACCAACATAGAATTTAACCCTCTATCACATAACCCTTTTTATCACCCTCCCAACGAGCAGGGAGGTCACGTTGGAAAAATAAAAATAGATAAAAGGCATTTTATATGCTTTTAATTATTTTTCCCATCAAACATTACACATAGGCATAGCAAACACACAATATATAACACCGGTGATACATGATTAAATCCCCTGCTTTCCCATTTGATAAGCATAGGCTTTATATCCAAGTTATTGCAATGGGACTTCAGACCGTGTATTTCCCAGACACCTATGTTAGAGATGCAAAAGATGAGTTGTCAGATTCAATGATTCGTTTCATTGCAGTGAAGCTCACCTTGTACCCCAGTTTTTGACCGTACGTCTTAAAATTTAAAATGCTAGGCTTTCACCCTGACTGATATTCCTTTGGGTTCCTCTACTTGCACTTTATAAGTACCTGCTGGAGGATGTCTAACATTTGTGACAGTTCTTCTATAGGAAATGGTAACATTATGGGCATCATTCTTGAAAAGTACTACAAAGGAAGGGTTGCTCAAATCTCTAGGCTACATGGTTGCCCTTTTGCGGCATTTGAAATTCCGATCAAATCTAGCTATCTGAGAAGATACTTGAGGCTGCACAAGTAGAGTAAATACTCAAGAGGGTGGATATCATATAGCAATCTTGGGTCAGAAGCTTTCTGAATATCAACATGGCCTGAACCAATTGCAAAAGTTGTCGCAGGGCCACCGTGATAAAAATCCTTAATTGGACTCCCTTTATTATCTAGATTATAAGCGATTATCATCATGGCTGATTTAATGTTAGCAACCATTTTTTGTGCCTTGAAATAAGCAGTGTTGCTAGGCCATTACCATGAAGGCAAGACATTGAAGTCCTTGAGTCAAAATTGAACATAACCCTTCTTTTGTCACTCTCCTTCCCAGATGGGCTAGTTATACTTGCCCACACCGCTAATATGTTCAGCCCTGGTGCAATCAAGTCCGGTTTGAGCAGATCGGGACTAACTAGATTTGGCCCTCTTGATGGAAACGTAGCCACCATTGGTGCACGCTTTCCATAAGCGGTTCCTTTGAAAGTTAGTGAAGCTGTAGGTGAATTTGTAGAGTTCAAATAACTTAATATGGGCTTTCTTGCCTCGCCTCCCGCAGAAACTGCGGGAGAAATGTAAGGATAAGCAAAAAGATCTCCACCTTCATCAAGAAAGATGACCATGCTAGCTCCTCCTACTGATTTTACGTGCTCTGCTTGTTGATATTTTTCAAATCCTTATATTTGTTCACAAACAACCCCCTTTCCTTCTACAAGCTTCAGGTTGAGTGTCCCTGGAACGCAATACTGAGCAAATTTTTTCCCTGCAGTTGGTACATACACAATTGGCAATTCTTTTAATGATTTTCCAGAGTACAAAGATATCCCTTCAAAAATTTATCCCTTTCCAAGCTTGACAATTGCAGGGAAGCTCCAATCAATGTTGGTGCAGTGTTGCCAATAGTACACGGGCCTTCATTTCCCACTGAAAGTGAAAGAAAGATCCCTCGTTGGATTCCAACGAATGCTGCTTGAGCAGTGGAATCCTCAAAATATGAGACAGCTCCTCCTTCTTCAAATCCTATTGATATGGACACCATGTCCACTCCATCTTTAATTGCTTGATCAATAGCAACAAGAGTATCGGCATAAGCGCAACTTGCAGGTGCTTCCCAGCAAACTTTATATACTACGATTCTTGATGTGTACCTCATTCCAGTCGCCACACCGTTGGCTAGGCTATAAAAGCTTGCGTTCTGCGCAAGATTGTTTCCGGTTGTTGATGCGCAGTGAGTTCCATGACTAGTTGTTGCTTTGGGAGACCTAAAATTTTTGGTTTCATTGATTTTGCCTTGCACAGCCTTGCACCCTTTCAAAAAATATCTGGCACCGATGAGTTTGTGGTTGCAGTTTAATGGGGAGAAGTTTGTATCGCTCTCATAAGCGCCTTTCCATTTAGCTGGTACTGGACCAAAACCATGGTTCTGAAAACTAGGATGTTCAGGCCAAATACTGGTATCTATAATGCCAATTATCACATTGGACTCTAGATTTGAAGCCTGCCAGAGTCCTCTGCCCTATTCTAGGCCAAGAAACTGGTAACCGTATGTGGTGTAGAGGCGCATTGATCTGTCGGGAATGGTAGTGACAAAAGCGTCCATGTCTCTTATTGATTCTAGGTGCAGAGGGGAAAGCTTAGCAGCAAAACCAAAGATTGCAGTGTCATATGCATAAAGTAGGCAGGGAGGTGGTTTTGCTGTTGGATCAGTAGAGACTAGAGAGTTGGGAGATTGAATCACATTTCTTCAATCATTTATTTGGAATTAGCTCCAGAAGGGTAGGAGGTTTTCTTCTTGGACTCGTCCATGTGAACAATGTATGTCGGACTGTCCACTGAAGCAACTGAAATTGTGGCCATGAATGCCACCTTCAACGTCATCTGAAGATGCTGTGAACTGCAAATAAAAAAAAAGCGTCGTCTTAATTTCTGGGCAACTTCGCTGTGTTTTACCATGACATAACTTGAAAGGTTGGTTTTGGGCAAAAAAAAAAAAGAAAAAAAAAAAGAAAACTTCATAATATGTATATTGATGCATGGAAGGAAATGGGAATTTACCTGTTTGAGTTTCCATGTTTTTAAGGTGCTATAAGTAGAAGGGATGAGGAGATAATTGCTTAGTGGCCACCATTTTTGGGGGCGGGCGTGGAACCGGGGAATTAATAAATTATTGGTAGGTCCCAACGATTAGAGGAGGGCGGAACCAACTGGGGATTAATGAAAATTATTATTTGGTAACAATAAGTGTTTTGAAGGGTGATTAATGTGCGACTTGACCGATGGTGACGAAGCCCCTCGGAGGAGACGGGGGACTTTTGAAAATTAAAAAAATTAAATAGGTACCATACTTATAAAAAATTAAATAAATCT